CTAATGACAGCCCAACATATACTAGTGCTCCCTGTTCACTCCCTACTTACACTGTCCACTGCCCCCACAACATCATTGTGAAAAAAATAATACAGAAATAAATTGTAAAAAATAATTTAAAAATTAGATAATAAAAATTAAAAAATTCTGACACCCACACCATTGCTCTACTGACACCATCCATTGGCCACCCAAAAGCATTTTGAAAATAAATGATAAAAATAATAAAACATTAATTTGTAAAAAAAATCATAAAATTGTAAAAAAAAAATCCATCCTACACATACTACCCACCGCCATACACTCCGCACTCCTCTCCCTGTATATACTACCCACTATAATACACTCCACACTGTACATTCCCTATTCACATTACCTCATTCTGCACTATATGTGATCTCAGACACTATTAAACCACACCCCTTTTAAGCCATGTCCAATTTTTAGCGCAATTTAAAAAACATCCCTCCTCCCTCATCCCTTCCTCTCTCTCTCTCTCTCTCTCTCCTCCTCCTCCTCTTCTCTCTCTTATACTCCTCTTTTTCACCCTTTTCACTCCCCTCTATCTTTCACTTCCCCCACATGGCAGCCATCTTTAAACCTGAAAGTGCCCAGTGGCTTCTACGGAAAGAAGCCGGGAACATTCATGCAGTCTTTGCTGCAGTAAATATGTAAATGCACCTTCTATGCAGCTGAACTGCAATATGTAGGTAGGGTGTTGTGTGGGTGTGCTTGAGTGTAGGTGGGGGCACAGGGGGTCCCATTATGTCTTACTGCCCGGGGGCTCCATGAGTTGTCAGTCCGCCCTTGCTGGAGAGTTTAATAAAAGACCACATAGATGAGTTTCTTCCTGGAAAAAAATATTTTAAGCAACAGACAGCATGGATTCATGAAAGACAGAAGTTGTAAAACAAATCTGATTTCTTTTTATGAGGAGGTGAGCAAAACCTTGGACAGAGGGGTGGCGGTGGACGTGGTATACTTGGATTTTGCAAAAGCGTCTGACACAGTTCCCCATACATGGCTTATGTGTAAGGTAAAGTCTACAGGCTTGGAAAAATCCGTATGTAAATGGATAGAAAACTGGCTAAAAGATTGTATTCAGAGAGTAGTGGTTAATGATTCATACTGTGAAAGGTCTAGAGATGTTAGTGGTGTACCCCAAGGTTCAGTGTTGGGACCCTTACTTTTTAATAAGATTTATAAAAGGTCTGGGCAGGTGGTGGTTAACCACTTCCCGACCGGCCGTTGCATATGAACGGCCGGACGGTGGCAGTACAGGGTCGGGTGGCCGTTTTTGAACGGCCTCCCCGCACCCTGCTTGTGCGTGCTCCCTGGGAGCGCGCAGCACAGCGATCCGGTGCCCGCTGTGTCCTCCGGACACAGTGAAACACCGATCGTCGGACGGGACCTCTGTACGAGGTCTCGATCATGTGATCACTGATTGGCCAATCAGTGATCACATGCAAAGTAGTAAGCAAGATGTCACTTGTGACATCATTGCTTACTACGTGTGAAATCTGTGAATGATCACAGAGGTCACATGGTACAAGGCTATTCACAACAGCCTTGTACCATGTGACAAGCTGTGACCAATCACAGCTCACTCTGTATTTCTCAATGAGTGCAGGAATGCACACAGAGAGAAAGAGAAATGATTGCTTTTACATCCTATATGGGTGTAAAAGCAATCATTGTAAAAAAAAAAAAAAAAAAAATCTTCATCACCCCCCACAAGTAGTACAGTGTCACCATGGTGACACTGTACTGCTAGGGTGACAGTATGTAAAAAAAAAAATAAATAAAAAATAATAATATAAAAAAAAAAATAAAAATGTAAAAAAAAATGTTTAAAAATTATAATTTTTGGTTATAAACTAATTTGTTTTTGTTTTTTTTTTACTAAAAAGATAACGAAATACATTTTGGCAAAGATTTATGATGAAATATTATTTATTTGCAAAATTTTATAAAAAAAAACACTTTTGTTCAAAATTTTTGTTTAAAATTCATTTACATAGCAAAAAAAATAAAAATCCCAGCAGTGAATAAATACCACCAAAATAAAGCTTTATCTGTCGCAAAAAAATGGTAAAAAATTAATTTGGGTACAGTGTTGCATGACTGCGCAATTGTCATTCAAAGTGTGATAGCGCTGAAAGCTGAAAATTGCCCTGGTCAGGAAGGGGGTAAAAGTGTCCGGTCTGGAAGTGGTTAAAGGATGTCTCTAACTTACAAGCCAACCTCAATGCACTGTTTAATTGGGCAACTATGTGGCAAATGAAGTTTAATGTTGATCAGTGTAAGGTTATGCACTTGGGGGCTACGAATATGCATGCATCATACTAGGGGGGTACAACTGGGGGAATCAATGGTGGAGAAGGATCTGGGAGTTCTGGTAGATCATAAGCTTAATAATGGCATGCAATGCCAAGCTGCAGGTTCTAAAGTGAGCAAAATCCTCTTTTGTATTAAAAGAGGGAGATATATAATTCTACTCCTGTACAAATCATTAGTAAGACCTCATCTGAAATATGTAGTTCAATTTTGGGCACCAATTCACAAAAAGAACATTGGGGAACTGGAGAAAGTACAGAGAAGGGCAACCAAACTGCTAAAAGGCATGGAGGAGCACAGCTATGAGGAAAGATTAGAGGAACTGAATTTCTTCTCTCTTGAGAAGAGGAGATTAAGGGGGGATATGATCAACATGTATAATACATCAGTGGTTCATATAGTGAACTCGGTGTAGAGCTATTCAGCTTGAGGTCATCACAGAGGACAAGGGGGCACTCTTTATGTCTGGAGGGGGCATGCTTTACATCTGAAGAAAAGAAATTTCATCTCCAAACACGGAAAGGTTTCTTCACAATAAGAACTGTGAAAATGTGGAATAGACTCCCTCAAGAGAGTTGGTTCTGGCCAGCTCAGTGGATTGTTTTAAAAAAGGCCTGGGTTATTTCTTAGCTACACTGAATGTAACTGGATACTAACATTTATAGGTAAAGTTGATCCAGGGAATATCCGATTGCCTCTCGGGGGATCAGGAAGGAATTTTTTTCCTGCAGGAGCAAATTGAATCATTCTTTTGCTGGGTTTTTTGTCTTCCTCTGGATCAACTGTGGGTGTAGGATTATAACTTTCTTTTTTTTTTTTTTTTGTGGTTGAACTGGATGAACTTTTGTCTTTTTTCACCCAGACTAACTATGTAACTATGTAAATAGATTAGTTTAATAATTTACCTATAATAACCCCAGACCGTGAAGGAACGTATATGTGCTGCTGTACAGTGCAGCGACCCCACTCAGTCTCCTGTTAAGATGAAGCTGATCCAGTTTGCCATTATCCTTGGAATTTTTCCCTTCTGTTTAGGTAAAGTTTTAAGATAACATTTTTTTCACAATATGATATTTAATGCAGTTTCCATAGCAGCTGGTGTTTTCAAGAGTTGTGTATATACAGTATGTATGGTTTATTGTTACTCCAAGTTAATTTTTCATGCATGCAGAAAAACTGACCCCATCTTTTTTAGTAGAAGATAAGTACATAGGCATGTCTTCTTGCATGCTAAGAGAATGCATTATTACTTGTTGTGTAGGACACCTGAGGCACATGGAGATGGTCTACTTGTACCTACTGGAAGCCAGTAGGCTTTACCATCAAAGTTCAAAGGCCAGACGTTTGTGCTGTCTGAGAGCACATCCACATCTTCACCCAATCCTAAGGAAACAATAATTTACTATCTAGTATAAGTTGTTTAACAAATCACCATCTTTTTTTTTACTTAGCATCCTGTGAGCATCTGACAGGGTTCTCTATCAGGTGTCATTTCTTCTTTGCTGGTATGATCCTCCTGTGGACAGCCACACCCTCCCTGCCCCACACAATGTAGCATATAGGAATACAGCAAAAATCATACTGCAAGTCTGCCACTGACATCACCTAGAACACAAGGCCTGTGGGTCCTCCCCCGGGTTCTTCCCAGCAGCAGCACAAGGTAAGGGGGGTGCACTGTGATGTATGGGAGGGTGGGGGACTCTTGAATTCTAATAGTGGGGGGATCTTGACATCTGATGTAAGGGTGAGGGTTGGGATCCTCTGGACATCTTCTCATAATTATTATGAGAATAATACAAGCTTGTGCCAGTTGAAAAAGAGGGTTGCACACCACTGGTATCATTCACAAGCAACTTTATTGGAGACTGCCCAGACAGAACATGGTTCTGTTATGGTGTTCTGTCTGAGAGATCTCCAATAAAAGTTTCTTGGGGTGTCGCCAGCGGTGTGCGACCCTCCTTTTCAACTGCCACAGGATTGTAGTATTCTCATAATTATTATGAGCTCTTTTTCAGACTTGAATCATCTGCTACAGGAGTGTGAGTGGGCTCCATGCCAGTCACCTGCTCTACACAATTCAGGTAGTTACCAAACCCAGTAATAATTGAATTCAGAAGCAATTATTTAATATGATACGGAATAGATATATTTATATAGTCTTACACATACCACCGGTCCTTTAAGCGCAACCATAATGCTAATACACCCCTGACTTAGAACCAAATAAATGTTTTTCCCAGACATAATGCTTGAGGAGTGCATAGCTCATTTTTACTCAAATACAGTATTACTAGGATGGAAACCAAACTCCTAGAGCGGCTCATTTCTCTTCATATATAATCTGAGTGGTGTAAGCCTTTAAATTAGTACAAATAGACAATAGTTGGTTGATTAAATGGAACCTGTCAGTAAATTCAGAAGTCTACCAAAACTAATTCCTGACATATCACAGTATACAGCAAGAGTTTAATATTTAAAAAAAAAATCTCTGCATTATTTGTTGCTAAGCGAAGGTAACTGCCTTAGGCAGGCCATAGATGATGCAAATTTCTTTCCTGTAACCACGGGTTCAATTCGCCCATCAATACAGTGTTGACAGGGGAATCCCTCCTGTGGAGCTTTGGTGGGAGGAGGGGAAAGCCAACCCTTCAGTTAGTGCAGGCCTTGATATTTCCACTCGCCAGCTTGCACTGGCGAGTGGAAATTATGATGGGGGTGAGTGTGTCCCCAGGGCCGTCTTGCTGAGCAGGCTCGGAACTCGGAGCCGGATCTGTCACTCACACTGGGAGCCGTCAGACTGCTCAATAGTTGAGCAAAGTGAAAGCAAAGGAAGGAGTGTGTGCTGTGCTCTCTGCCTCCCCCTAGAGTGCAGTACCCGGCTCTGTCAGTGAAGGTAACAAAGTACTACAACTTTTTATAGGGTGTGTGTGTGTGTGTATATTTGTATGTGTGTGTATTTGTGTGTGTGTATTTGTATCTGTGTGTGTGTGTGTGTATTTGTATGTGTGTGTATGTACATGTATCTGTGTGTGTGTCTGTGTATGCGTGTATGTACATGTGTGTATCTGTACATGTGTCTGCGTGTATGTACATGTGCCTGTGCATGTACATGTGTGTGTGTGTGTATGTACATACATGTATCTGTGTATGTATATACTGTGGGAACTCGCTTCAAAGTGGTAGAGCTTTTAAATGCACACAGCTACTCGCTTTCTTTTTCAGGGCCTTTTTAGCCCACTTTTATTTAAATGAAAGTTCACAACAGAAGTTTCCCACACAGGGGTATCAATCATCCACAAAACAACAGTTCAGCCTCCTGGCTTATACTCAGCTTGCTGTCTGTCTCCTGCAGACTTCTTCAAGACTTATGGCTCTCGCACACAGCTGGCCACTAGCACACAGCTAGACTCTAGCAGCCCCTTGCTGCTTTTGGCTTCCACCTCTCCTAGGTGGAGCCCACCTGACTTCCAGGCAGTGACCTCCCGTCTTCCAAGCGGAGCCCTCCTGACTCCTATCTGCCGGGGTGGAGGCCTCCTGACTCCTATCTGCCGGGGTGGAGCCCAGAACCCTGGTCCTGACTCTCTCTAAAGGCCTGCACACACCTGTGCAATCAGTCTCCTGGCCATTCCCAAAACCTGGTCCCAGGATTGGAGATTTCATCCCTCCCAAATCACTTCGAAATCTCCAGGCTCCAGCTCCCAAAAAGGACCTTACAAACAAAGGAGGAAAGTGAAAAGCCACTTTCCTCCATATCAAACCTTTACCCTGGAGCCCCTCAACCTGCCTTGTTGAGAATCCAGGGTGACAGATCGCCACACTGTCACAGTACATATGTCTGTGTATGTATGTACATGTGTCTGTTCGTGTGTATTTCTGTGTATGTACATGTGTCTGTGTATATGTACATGTATGTGTGTCTGTACATGTATCTGTGTGTGTATACATGTGTCTGTATGTGTGTGTGTGTGTACATGTGTCCCTGTGCGTGTGTGTATATGTTTCTGTGTGTGTATGTGTATGTACATGTCTGTGTGTGTGTACAGGTGTCTCTGTTTGTGTGTGTGTATGTACATGTGTCTGTATGTAAACCTACATGTATGGGTGGTTTGGTCAGGTTCTGGATTATGAGGTTATTATGGGTGGTAGAGTATGGTGCATTTGAGGTATTGCTGGGTTGGATAGTAGGTAGGATATGCTTGGTAGAGTTATGGTTTTGTGAGTGAAAGATTATGGGGGGTTAGGGTTGTATGAGGTGCATGGTCCAAGTATGATGGAGTGTTTAGGGGAACATTGGCGGCCCTGATGTAATGTGGGGGGACTCTGGGGACCCTGATGTAATGTAGGTAACATTTAACAGTGTCATTTCATGAAATAATTTATGAGAGCGTGTTTAGGGGTGGAATTAGGGGTGTAGCAGGGTAGGGGTTGGGTGGGGCAACTGGTGGCCAGTAACTCTTAAGGCCCGGCTAGTAGCTCAGGACTTGAAATTTTAAGCCCTGAGTTAGTGTGTTCAATACCTTTTCCCTGTGTCATTCCATTTTATTACACATAATGTAATTTCTGAACTTATTTGTTTTGGTTTCTTTGTATGTATGAATCGCATAGGTTGTAGCTGACATGTGGTGAACATTTCATGTCAATAGCACCTTTAGAAATATGTTTACTGAGAAAAATTGTGACGTGTTCAATACTTATTTTACCCACTGTACATAAAAAATCTATAAGCTGTCTCAAGGGTAGCCATGACACTTTAAATTTGAGGTGAATTCCCAGGTGCTCACTCACAAAGAAATCCATACAAATTCGAAACTGGGATAAAGGTACTCACAGGTCTTTCAGAGGAGATGGATCAAGACAGCATGAGTATTATTGTCGATGTTTGATGAAGCTCAGTCCATCTTTCTCAAGTCTTGAAAAAAATGGACTGAGCTTCATCAAAACTTCGACAATAAAAACGCTGCTGTTTTGATCTATCTCATTTGCAAGACCCGTGAATGTCGCTATACCAGTTTTGGATTTATATAAAATCTATATGTAACGTATATATCTATATCAAAAGACTAGCTACGCAAACAAGCCCAACATTTATTAACCCTAGAAGAAAGTAAAAAAGAAAAACATTCAATTAAAAGTCAAAAAAGAAAAAGGAAGCTGCAAAGGGGTGGCACAGAGACTAGCAAGCACACATGCGATCAATACAGAAAAAAAAGAGTCCTAAGAAAGGCAGTTATGTTTATGGAGCTATGAACACAGGGGGGTACATGAGGGTATGTAGTTCAACACACTGCAATCTGCAGTAAAGCACTGTATAGCATAGTATAGCACTTTGTAGCACTGTACCTCTCTATCCAGGTTTGTCAGCTTTCCCTACTCATCTACAACATACTGACAATATGGATGCTGGGAGTCCATTCTTTTATAGTGGGGGGGCTGATTTACCAGTTTTTTCAGATTATTGTCTCTCAGGAACCCATCTGATAGCCATTCAACTATCCTCTGGGTTTTGAAGTGCATTGTGTTCAGGATCAAATTTTTGGCATAAATTTAAGGTTTTGGCTAACTGTGAAACCGTGAGATCAAATCCAAGGTGGCCCTGAGCCTCATCCCTAATGCCTTAGTCTAATGCCCAAAAAAGGTAGTTTGGGAAGCCTGGAAGTTGCAGATAAACTGAAGAGAATTTCTTAAGCAGCAACATTTGCATAAATCAGCATTCTTGCTGTGATGCTTTTAGGCAAAAGAAGAGCCACAGCAGAATTTGGCCTTTGATAAATGATATCTGGCCTAGCAGAGGTCGAAGAGACTTGCTATTCATTGGAGAAATCGTTGATGTTCTTAGCACTGTGGATTCTGGAGTGTGGACTGATGGCTTTACTACTGTTGTACCTAATATGCCATAATCTGAAGCAGGTTCTTTATGCTATACATACCCGGGTAAATGTGCACAATTCCACCAGGACTCCTATCGGGCTCTTTGCTAATATTACCTGTTTGTGCATGGATTGTATGTACTATTATTAATCTTTTCTTATATAAAGCTTGTATTATTTCTATACTGTTGTGCATTCATATGCTCGTGGTTTATGTTATCAGCTGTTTGCAGTAGTTCCTCTTCTTCCAGTTACTTTGATTACATTAGCACATTATGAAAGACTTACCTGTAAAACAGATCCCTCCAATGGTGGGCTGTCGCTGCTGGGCTTCATCTTCACCTAGTCTTACTTCTGGGTTCTCGGCCCAGGCCGTTTGAATGCCTGAGCAGCAATGACATCAGTCCCATGCATGTGAACGGGAGTTATGGTTGTGGAACAGTGCTGTGGGTTGACAGCACATTCAGTGTACCCTGAATTCAGAGTGAATTTCGCAGGTGACGTCAGCTGATGCAAAACATGTGAATATCTCCTAAACGGTGCACATATTGGCAATTTTAATTTTATCTAAGATAAAGCTGACCATAAAGGGTTTGAATCTTTGCCAGTTCAGCAGGGACTGGCTGAAATTCAAACCATGTATGGGCAGGCTGAATGTACCCAAGCTGATTGATTGATCAACATGGGTACAATCAGCCTGTCGGATTTTATATGCAATAGTTGTTAGCGGCTATTATAGCCTCTAGCACAGTGGTTCTTAACCTTTTTGGAGGTACTGAATTCACCAAACCCTTCTTAATTGGAAAAATAAAATATGATTTTTAAAATTCAAAACATAGGTATATATTTATACATAGGTGCACAAAATGAACAAAACCATTAAGAACAAAGAACAAAACCATTAAAACATGATTTTCACACAAAAACAAAATAATGAATATTTACCGCAAATCAGTGTGACTTCTGCTGTTGTCTTTCAGAGGCCAGTTCAGAAATGCGCGGCATTACCTTGGCAAGTGCCACTCTCATGTCATTTTCGCAACAAAGTCTGTTCCTTTTCTTCGTCTTTATGTCCAGCATCCTCGAAAAGGATTGCTTGCAAAGATATGTTGTAACAAACGGTATGAAAATTCATCCCCCATATAGTAATTCATCCCCCATATAGTAATTCATCCCCCATATAGTAATTCATCCCCCATAGTAATTCATCCCCCATATAGTAATTCATCCCCCATATGGTAATTCATCCCCCATAGTAATTCATCCCTCATAGTAATTCATCCCCCATATAGTAATTCATCCCCCATATAGTAATTCATCCCGCATAGTAATTCATCCCCCCATATAGTAATTCATCCCCCATATAGTAATTCATCCCCCCATAGTAATTCCTTCCCCATATAGTAATTCATCCCCCATATAGTAATTCATCCCCCATAGTAATTCATCCCCCATATAGTAATTCATCCCCCATAGTAATACATCCCCCATATAGTAATTCATCCCCCATATAGTAATTCATCCCCCATATAGTAATACATCCCCCATATAGTAATACATCCCCCATATAGTAATTCATCCCCCATATAGTAATTCATCCCCCATAGTAATACATCCCCCATATAGTAATTCATCCCCCATATAGTAATACATCCCCCATATAGTAATACATCCCCCCATATAGTAATTCATCCCCCATATAATAATTCATCCCCCATATAGTAATTCATCCCCCATATAGTAATTCATCCCCCATATAGTAATACATCCCCCATATAGTAATTCATCCCCCATATAGTAATTCATCCCCCATATAGTAATTCATCCCCCATAGTAATACATCCCCCATATAGTAATTCACCCCCCATATAGAAATTCATCCCCCATATAGTAATACATCCCCCATATAGTAATACATCCCCCCATATAGTAATTCATCCCCCATATAGTAATTCATCCCCCTATAGTAATTCATTCCCCATATTAATTCATCCCCCATATTAAGTCCCCAAGTCCCCCCTGTGTCAATTCACTTACCTTTGCTCCGCGCGTTCCTCTCGCTGTATTCCCGCGCCGTTCCGGTCTTCAGGGCGGACTGTGAGAGGAGCCTAGCTCCTCTCACGTTTGTCACGCTGCCCCCTACACACATCCTGACAGCCAATCACTGGCTATCAGGATGTGAGTGGCAGCGAGACTGGCCAATCATTGCAGTTGAGTCCCTGCCGCCTGAGAGGAGGGAGGGGAGCGGGCGCCCGGCACACAAGAGCCGCGGCTTGCCGACCACTGGGCATGTCATCACAAATCATATGAGTCGGGTGTGGGTCACCTCCGCCGAACCCCCGAGACTGACTCACCGAACCCCTGGGGTTCGATCGAACCCAGGTTAAGAACCACTGCTCTAGCAGTAGTCACTGTTTTCACGGGGGGGAGCCTTCCACCCTGGAATAACACAATGGCTCTGCAGGGAGGGAGCCACAGTCTGTGTTGATGGGGGAATTAAGAGATTTTCTTTCCTGCAACCTGTGGAAATATTTCTGTCTATAGGTGACTAAAGATTTATTATAGGCTTACCTTAGGTAAAACTGACAAAGCACAGTTTACTACTGCTATAGGTTCTGCAGGGAAGACATGTCTCTGGAGGCCAGTGACATTTTTGCATGATAGTAGCTATATTCCTTGTGGGCCATCTCCCCTGCGAGTTGGAAGTAAAAGATTGTCACTTCACTTTCAAGGCTGGAATCCTTTTTTAGTTATTGCAGGTACTTATATAGCACCATCAATTTACACAGCGCTTTACATATATATATTGTACATTTACATGAGTCCCTAACCCTCACGGGGCATACAATCTAAGGTCCCAACTTACTTTCATACATACACATACTAGGGCCAATTTAGTCAAGATTCAATTAATCTACCAGCATGTCTTTGGAGTGTGGGAGGAAACCAGAGTACCCAGAGGAAACACATGCCGGCACAGGGAGAACATGCAAACTCCAGGGAGATGGCGCCATGGTTGGGATTTGAACCAATGACCTTAGTACTGTCAGGCAGAAGTGCTAACCACTTAGCCACTGTGCTTTATATGTGCGTTACTGTGCTTTATCCTTTATATTGGAGTTTTCCAATATAAAGGATAATACTTGGCCATAGTATGTGCAAAATGTCACTTGACCTAGTCAACACTCTCATAGGCATAA